TTTAGTAAAATTTACTAACAAAACACTATTTATGTCCAGTGTCTAAGTGATACAAAAGACCACCTGCTAGTAGTAGAGACCGAAAAAGACATCACGCCTTCGAAATCTTCTGTTTGCTCAAGAAAAACAGTTTCTCCGCGAAATCAACACAATAAAATCACCCCCAGTTGCCTTTTCTGAAACACATCAATCAAACTATTCGCCAGTCCCTTCTGCGCCGCCCGAGTCGCTCCACGTTCACATACTTTCTCATAACATACCCTTATTCTTGCAACTGTACCCTTGTATGATACCTTGCTCAGCACGGTCTTTTATCTCAATTTCGTTTTTTATATGACACACATTGCTGGAAATAGCGTTCCTCATCACAATGTTTGCTGGTCTGACTGGGGAGGCTTGTCCCGTTTCGGTTCTTTCCTAATATCTTATGTGCGGCCACATTCTTAATTAAGGACCACAACTATTTGTACGACGCATTGATAGAGAAACGTTGCTCGTACGTTGTTTCTTCCAAGTAGATATGCTTGGGTGACAACGACATCTCCTCCAACTGATGTATCGCAGCTCCGCAACGAAAATCACGATGGTAACTCTATGTTGCGTACAAAGAATGCGTCTGTTAAAGCGTCTCTTGACGTCGATTCGGAGAACCAAACGGTTCAGTAGGCAGACGTGTTTAAATAGCTTAGTAATTAGCATGCCTATAAGAAGTTACGATAAACCACTTTCTTCAATAATTTTTGCGGGCATCCTTGAGTACGCAAAATGCTACACTGTGCTGGCCTAGTGGGGAGCCAGCGACACTTCAGAAGCATTGTTTGTGAGGCCCAAAGATAGCGAAAGATCTATTCGGTTTGACGAAACAGCGTTGAATTGAAAAGGAGCAACATCAAAATGCATCTTAATCTATCGCGTCATCGAAACTATAGCGGAGATCACGACACAAGAACCGTCTGCGCCACAGCTCAGGAGTGACACGCTCGCAGTTTATCTGCATTGCAGGCAAAGGCTTGGGGTACAACGGCACCAGTTTCACCAAGCAACCGCTTGCCGTTGAGACAATACAATGAATCTAGTGGGTGGGTCGAATCTGCTTGCGCGGCTTTATTCTTGACGGCACGAATAAAGAATTGAGAATAATTGAAATTTTCACCTGTTCTTGGGATGAAACGCCTCACGTGGGACTGCTCTAGTCTGGTTCGTTTACCTTTGTACCAACTTTCCCAAACCCGAGACGAAAGCTGTCACGTTCACGCGAGAACAGATAAGGCGCTTCTGAGCTATAACACTACGGGACGTGGCTTCAAGTGTTACGACACAGCGCTCGATCCACTTCAAAACAGAAACGAACGCAACTGTCTTCGTCGTACCCTTGTACATCAACCTGTCTCGTGCAAGACAGTGGGGCCCTGCTCGTGTGAAAACCAGTTTTCTGATTGTTTCGATTCCCTGGCACTGCCTTTCTCAATAGATGTCCGGTACTTACCCTGTGACTTGAGTTCGGCGTTCAGTCTTCACGAAACGCCAAGCTACCAACGGTACGTTGTTGTGACAGTGCTAGGAAAAAGCAGCGCCCTTTTCATGTCTGACTAAATCTGCCTGCCCACAATCACCTAGTCATGCGTTTTTCGTCCCAGTTAGTCAAATCAAGTCGTGATTCGTCACCAACGAATTGGAGCCGCCAAGCCATAATCAACTTTACTTATGAGATGCGAGTTGCTAATCTGTTCTTCTTCTCGCTACTTTCATGAGGGTGCCACAAAAACTCCGGAGCTTCTTGGGCGCATTATCGTGCTATGAGACACAGGAGGGGTTTCAATTTCTGAATGTCTACAAGATCGGATTATCTCCGTCATTTCTAATGTTCCAACAGACAGTGAGTTACGTTGGTTTCCGCCAAAACGACAAACATCTCTGAACAGACGTTCTTCAGAAGCTGTAGATGCCTGAACTGAACATGTCGCACGAGCGATTCGATTGAAACGAACTGGACTAACTAGTCCCGTACATTCCCTTTACTCATTCCGAAACATTTAGGCAATGTTTGGCTCTTCCCGACCCTTCTGTTCCACACTGCAGCTGAGCTCCCTGATGAACAAGCGAAAGACTGCTTAATTCTTCAAAGCGTTTTGCCAGAGATTTGTCGAACTCGACGATCTCCCGTATAACAACGTAATTACATGTCCTTGTACTGGTTCTTCGCCTCCTAGCTGAAAGGTAAAAACTCTAAACTGCATTCATTGACGTCAAGAACGGAAGTGGCACGAAACAACAAAACCCGACTAGGCTCACAAGGGGCACAGGTACAGCATATCCAAAAGTACTAAACATCAAATGATTTTCTGGTGATAGACCCGTGTCCTCCGGGCACCTATTAGCAGAATACTCAGCCGAACCTTCTCATGTGTGTCCAAATCTTTCCTTCATGCAGTCCGCGATGTAAACGGCCACGTTTCGACCTTGATGCTTTTCAAGCGTATTAGAACGAGCTTTATTGCGTTGTTTGTGTGTGTGTGTGTGTGTGTGTGTGTGTGTGTGGTTATGGGCACGTGCCTCTAATTCCAAGGCAACGGTATCGCTTTCTACAAGTAGAATGCTAATTATCTATTCGACATCTAAATTCCCCTAATAGACCCAATCGCATCTCCATTTGGCTTCCTCATCCGGCGTAACTTTGTAGTGTTTTATAACCTTTTCGGAAGGTCGGCACACCTCAACGGGCGGAACTGCATGTGCCCTGAGCGGGACTCGGTAGTACCTTGCAGCGGTCTCTCACCATATACAACGGTATCCAGCGCAAAGCGATTCAGCATCGAGATTCCAGATGGGCTACGAAAACTTTGACGCCCGTTGCGTTGTTTGTCAGCAATGGCGATCTTGCACGACAAAGAAGTGCTGTGATCATAGTTATGTCCTTTTTTCATCATGATCTACAGATAAGGATACGCTTCCAACATTTGACCTATCATGCGTGTTCTTACGCCCCGCCTGCAGTGTAGAGAGTTGCAAAGAGCTTCTGAAGTAGTCGCGTAGCCGGTGAGGGCGAAATTGTTTTGTCTGCCTCACGATGGCATGCAACTCACTGTACTTAGAAGAGCACTAGAACGAACTCAGCTAAAGTATTATGTTGCTTAGTCGTCAAATGAAGCAGAACATTACGTTCAATGTTCACCTTTTGAGCGACGGACTGTACAATAGACAATATATCACTATTTGGGTGAAAAAGGCTATCATTACATCCAGCCTGAAGTGCCAACGAGTTGGAATGTCATGCTTCAGTCGCTGTATCTGATCTTTTGTAACATCCTCTTGCGACTGCTTTTTCAGCAACTGCCGCGCAGCTTTCGGAAGGTGATTGAAATGTTTGGTGACCATGTTCACATGCCCCATCGCTTTTTCACACAAGGATCTATATTGAAACACATCTTTGACAGGGGAGTGCAAGTGTATGACAAACACACTGTATTGATATAATATAGTTCGTCAGCAATTCCACAGCTAAGGTTGTCGCACCTTCATCGTCGCTTGTTGCGCCAAATATATGGATGCCATTGCCACAAAAGTGGGGCTCTATAATAGACACTTCAAATAACTGTGAACAGACCTATAATCAAGGAGAGAATCTTGATCCTCTGATCAAGATTCTCTCCTTGATTATAGGTCTGTTCACAGTTATTTGAAGTGTCTATTATGTTTAAGGTTGATGTTGGAACCTTTTTAAACCAGTCCTCGTCCAAAAAGTCCCATGTCATTCCCAGAACCGATTCACCAAGAGCAGCCCTCCATGCATCTGCGTTCATGCTTCCTGTACTTACCTCGCTAACAGACTCGCGTAGAAGAGAACAGACACCTGATAGGTGCTTAGAAGATGATGCTCGGGAGGATCTATGCTACAAAAGTCAACTCGACCTCTGTATATCCACCATTCCTCGTCGTAGTGTTGAGCGCTTTCGTGAGAGAGGCGATTCCGTCGCACGAGCACACAAAACTGATCCAACTGAGATTAAAAATTTGATATCAATCGCTGTCGAACGCAACTAAACATATGTCCAAACGCTTGTAGATATCTTGAACAAGCTAGTGATTGACTTGCACATATGGTTCCGACCCCACTGTTTGCTTTTACAACGAACTTCGGATTGTATCGCACTCCGTGGAACGTGGGACGCGTTTAGTCATTATAAATTCTGATAGAGGGTTGGATGGTTACTCGGATAATGGGAGTTTATGTTTGAAGTTGAAAGTTTCTTACTGGCTGCACCAACGGAAATCACGAACCGCACATCGAACTGACTCTTCACACTGATGCTGTCTGAATGCTCCATATTGAAGATTTGATCTGCGTTCCGACCGATATCCGCTATCAGATCTTGGACATTTTTGGCGATTTTCTAATGTGCTATGAGCTTCCGAACAGAGTCTTGATGTACACAAACAAAGGTGGATGCTTCTTGTTCGGTGGTTCTTTCTAGATCGAGATTGTGATCCGAGAGAGACGTTACCAGCTTGCGTTTCGACACTATTGCGAATATTAGCACTAGATGATTCAAAACTGGAGACGTCAATTTCATTTCTGGACTAGTTGTGGTAGGTGACATGAGTTCTTCTGAATAAATACACTACGCTATTTCAGCAATAGTGAGGAGATTGCCGAGAGAGGAATTCTTCAATAAGGGCTCTTACCACGCTTTCGGATTTAGTGGCGTGCGCTCGTAAGCATACATACATACAAACTACGGTGCTACCCTCTATCCCATATCTACCCAAGGGTATATCTGTACACCCACCCAAAGAGCACACAGGCTAGACTTGTTTTTTGTGGTACCGTTGGTACAGTACGTGATTGTTTGAATCAGGGGTAGAAGGTTACCGCTACCCTTGGTAAGCTGGTTCCACTCTACGCACGGCCGGGGCATTCTGCGTGAGCTTACCTTTGCTGACATCTAAACCGTACTGTATTCTACACCAACGTGGCATAGCAGCAGAGGACGAATCTATGTGGGTCTGTAGCTCAATTGGAAGAGTGCCACGGGCGGTTGCTCCTTTGGGCGGTTGCTCTTAGGTGGTGGGTACTGGGATCGAAGCCCAGCAGAGCCTTCGTTTTGGATCTTCTGGCGTGTGACGTGTAAAGGGTTAGATTGCTACCCTGTCTGTACTGGTACTGCAGTGGTAACGAGAAGCGCGTCCAGATCGAGATAAGGGCCCGCTGCAACAGCATACAACTAGTGTCTATCGGACCAGTGCGCTGACCTCATATGAGGTCAGAGCAACGGCACGCAAAATTAAAAAAAAAATTGAAATCTGATCCGCATGGCCCCACATTTCAAATTTCGAACTTGAAACATGGCTAACCAGGTGGTCTTTGAACAAAAAGATCTGTGGACGGAGCCATTGTGTACGAATGTTTTTGACGATAGTGCTTGATGTGACAGCTACGACTGTTGGTGATGTGTTGTGGACATGGTTCAGCGCTGCCGGCGTAGAAGACATGATGAGAAGATCAAAGTGAAAAAGTTTTTGGAAAAGTTTTAAGGTTTTGATAAAGTTCTAGAGTCATTAATATTGACCTCATATGAGGTCGCTGGTCAGATAGACACTAGCGTCCGCGAGAGCATGATGTGCGGCAGCTCCAAGAGCTGCAGGCCAAGTCGAAACGAATGGACTGGCACTCCTCGTCTTTGTGCTTTACTCCGGCTTCACCATTGCTGTGCCGATTTGCGGATCAAAAGTTTCGTCCTTTTACGTACTCATCCGCGCTGGGAATATGTAGAACACCACCAGCTCCAGACAGGTCTACTAGCCTTGTACGTCATGTCCACAAAACACAAATTTGTCCAAACTTAACGACCAAATGTACAGAAGATCTTTCCGCGTTCGCCCCAGGAACGACAACACTGCTGCTGCAAGTCTTTGCAAATGCTGAGAGGTTGGCAGCTTGGACGCAAGAATGGCTTGGAGAGTATATTTTTAGTTCGCAAGGAACTCTTCCGATCCCAGTATCACAGGTTACTAATGAAGAAGAAGTTCAGCTGCTCTTTTATTCTGCTGATCTCGAAGTTCGTGGCATTCTTGCCATCAGCACTGAGTCAGAGGGCTTGAATTCAGCGAAACTGCGCGTAACGTCTTCATCTCGTTTCATTAACGAAGCTGGTAAATATACATCAACCCTTCCTGGTGAACGTCGCATTATTCGAGATCTATTTTCTGGAGTGAGAGAGAGCTTCGAGGGAGTAAACGTGTTGTACAAACCGCGGTATTTCAGACTTCGAAAACAAATGCTATCCAAAGGCAACCCATCAGTTCATGTCACTACACTTGTCTGCGAAGTACGCAATGCAACGCGGACACAGGTCGTGTCATTTTTGCACAACTGGGCCTTTGAAACACAGTTTGGGGCAGAGGGGCTTTCTCTGGCAAATGTCACTCTTCCACCTATATCTGTTTTTACGTTTTCGAACGGTGTCAAGGTGCGCACACAGGAATCGTTGAGCGCCGAGATCATTGCTCACGTGCGGGAAAAGGGTATGGTTATTTCTCGTCAGGCAGAACCACTGGATCAAGACGATCTCAATCAGCTACGTACTTATTCCCCTCGCACAATAGTTGTCGTATCAGCGACATACCCAGAGAAGGCAGGCACAAGAGCGGTCATGAGAAGGTATAGTTCTCTCTCAGTGCGTTTCTGTGCTTTAACGAATCGTTGTGCAATTGCTAACTGGTTTATCGTTTCAGTCTTTCACTAAGTTTATTTCGACGTTATCCAAACACACGCATTCACGCATCCTCGCGATCCTGACTAAGCCAACGTTCCTGTCCTGCTCATTCCGTGAGCAACTCACATGACCGTGACACTGACAACCTTCGAACTTGCTGCTATGTACAGAACGCCACTATCATACGACACCGTTGTAGGCCCAGGCGGCAGAGCTGCTCGTATCCATGCCATTGGAGATTTTTCGCTTGTTGCTCGTCCAGAAACGTCAAAGACTGCAACTCCGTCTGCGACCCCTACATACAACCTATTTCTTTCGTCAAGTACGATGTTCCCAAGAATACCAGAGAAGAAGGAATGCTGCCAGTTATGAAGACTTGACGTCCAGTCGTAAATGACGACAGGATCCTTGGCTACTAATCTGTTACGTCCATTCGTTTTTTCGTACTCGATTGCGTACTCGACGATGCATGGTTTCCGCGGAGAAGCTACAGAAACAAGAAGGCGATTGTCTGATGTCACCGCCACTCCGGATGGTCTGTCCAAGTCATTAACAAGCAACAACGGCTCAGGACTTTCCGCTTCCCCACTTTGGAACGCTAGGATATCAAGTGCCGGCATGTAGTACACGGCTTGTGGCAGAGTAGCACCCGGAGGTTTGTCCAACTTGCGATCAAACTCATCGATACTCTCAACAAGCCCAAAGTATGCATCAGAAAAGAAAATGTTTCCACGCGCATCAACAGCGAGCGAGTTTGGTGCGTTGAACCGAGTCTGATTCCACATGCTGGCCAATGAGTTGACTTGATAAGTGGGGTAGAGCGTTTGACTACTTGCAGCAAGTGTCAAGACTCCAACATCCCGAGCAGCGTGGCGAGTCACGAGCATGCTGCAATTGCCCTCTGCACAGGAGTATGGCGCTATGGATGATATACCTGGTCTGAGCAACGAGGCGGCATGGGTTTCATTCAGCGCCGCTCCAGAGTTAGAAATCAATGGCAACGGCATTGGTGCGTTCTTCGGCAAGAAGAAGCATTGGTTTGTACTATGCTCGCAAGTCAAGAGCCCGGAAAACGGGGAAGGCAGAGATTGGATTGCGTTGACATGTCGAAAAGTGGAAGACGATGGAACAATATTATGAAAGACATCGCTGCCATTGGATGATAGTTGAAACGCTTCCAAATCCGAGTGTGCTGAACTATGTACCAACTTGAGAATGAGAGTTGCGATTAGGAGTGGTACTCCGATAAGGGTCAATGATATAACATTGCGAGAAATAGGCTTGTAATCAATTGGCGGTGTCGGCAGAAGTAGCGACAACAGATGTGCGCTCATGACATCAGAAAAGCTCCCCAATTCTTAACCTTACCAAAAGACGGGAGGATGATGGGATACAGGTTCAACACATTGAAGGACAATCGCGTAGACTTGGTGTGCACCATCTTCCCTTTTACGGAGGACAGCGGCAATTTGTTCTGCCGCATCATGGTTGGGCCGCGGCTCTGGACCCTAATACGGGCGTGGTCGTTTACGCAAATGCAGACTGTGATGATAACTATGAGAAACGACCTTTGTGCGAAACAAGGTACGGCCGTTAATTGAAATATATACAAAACCATTGAGCGCATTCCGTCCCACAAAACAGTTCATGATCCTTCCCCACGGGTTTCACAAGTTTGAAGCTTGGCCGGGTAATCTTTACCATACTCCGCAACGCATGCACTCTTCTGATATCACGCAGCTCTTGTGAAAGCGCAGCAGCTCCCAAAAAACAAAACGTCCAAGCCTCAAACAACACAAACCGTCATTTGTTCCGGACAAAGCGTTGCAGCGCGTCCGGCAAAGGCGCACTTCCAACACCCCCTGGAGCAAAACCAGCCTTCTTTTCATTCAAATCACGATCCCGAATACTTTCAGCCAGTTTCGCTGTTCTCCGTCGTTCCTCAAGTGCACCCTGAAGGCGAATCTTTCTAGCTTCACCAGCACTGGTTTGAATCTTTTTAAGTCGTTTTGAAATCTTGCTTCTTCCCTTTTGCTTCTTCTTCAGAGCGCGCCTTTGAATCTTGTCAAGATTGGCGCGATTTTGTATTTCTCGAATTTCGCGGACCCTCTGAACGGGGTCTTTATCGACGGTACCTACGTTGGATGGATCCAGCATGATTGTAGCCGGCGGTAGCTTGTCAATGAGCGTTCGGACTTCGTTTTGTCGCCGTTGTTTTCGGGTTTCATACGGGTTGGGAGCACGGGTATCAAAGGTAGGTTCACCGGCACCAGGCACGATCATATTACGCACACCAGTCTCATGACAGACAGCAAGCACGTCTTCAAAAGGACAGAATTGCAACGAAGTGATGCGATTCCCAGAATAAGTTTGTCGCATATAGGGCTGCGAACGTTGTTGAGTGACAGATAAACCATAACTTTTTGAAAACGGTGACCAAATCTGAACGGTGGCTCCAAAGCTAAGTGCAACAAGTTGACGTTGTGACACACAGAGAGCGGACGGTGATGCCGGTAAATTCGTTTCAAACAACTTACGAAACGTTCGTAAATCCCAAAAACATAGTCTGGCGTCCTCGCCAGTAGTGACCATCCAGTTTCCATTCTGAGCTACAGCGACATGATTAACTGATGATCGATGTGTAAACATTCGCGCTAAAGGACGGTTTGACAATGGGGACCACATGGATACGACGCCAGATGTATGTGCGAGATGCACGACACCGTTCGAATAGTTTACAGCGGCGTTTGTGGCGTTGTTAAGACGGAGTTGTCTGGATGCATAGTCACATTCAGAAAGCACCTGTCCGGTGGAAGTATCCGTGTACACAAGACGACCGTGGGGGGCGGCCTGAGCTGACGTGGAGGCTAGCAAGAGATGATGCGGTAGAAACACAAGGTTATCTGGTTCTCTGTGAGTCCTAAGCGTGTGTATCTGCAAACCCTGAGCGTCATAAATGTACACAAAGTGCTTTTGAGCGAGCGCGAAAAACGAATCATCATGCAAGAAAGCGGCAGAGCGAACGGTTTCATTGAGGGTAAGTTCGGATCGAAGTTTTAGTGAACGCCAGTCAAAAAGCGAAACATGACCAAGACGGCTGGCGATCAACATGGATCGAGAAGATCGTGAGAACAATGCGGAATGATATGGAGCCAGTCTAGACTGTGAAAGGTCAAGATGAAAGTGTGCCTTTGCCTGGGTGGCGAGGTCGATGTGCGGTTTGAGCTGCGCTTGGGTGAAGTGGTAGGTGTGCTCCAGGTCGGACTGCGGCTGCAGAAGTCCGGGCGCATCGGAGTGCAGCACGGTGGCATCGCGGTTAGCCTTGCGCGTACGAATGACATGTTCAACGGCGTCATTGGCGCGTGCGACGCGCTTCCGCGTCGT